AAACCGTAGGAATCATTCACCTTGAAAAATTGAGTATTCAAATTTGTTTTTCAAATTAAAATTCAAATTTTATTCTCTATAAAGATTACAATTTTGAGTTTACAGAATTTGGTTGTTGTGTGTTTACATGTATTTAAAATAAGTACAGGTGTACCACTAGAACCCCTAGCAGGGTAGGATTTCGGGCAGACTTAAATTTTAAATTCATTATTTTAAAATATTACAAATTATGAGGTAATTTGGTATTATGGCTAAGTGATAAATACTGTTTGTGAGTTTAGCAATGGAAGCTTTTTTTTTGGGCACAGTACTAGTTTAGTATTGGAGTATATAGGTTTCTTTATTTTAAGATTGAGATTAATTTTCTGTTTTGGTCAATGGGTGAGTGAGTGAAAGTGTAAACCACCAGGTGGATTCGTGTAGTTATTGAGGGGGTTTATCAGGGGATAAAGTTTTCTAAGGGTATTTTTGAAGGTGTGAATGGTCTGCATTCTAGATTTCTCGGTAGGGTGTTCCAGATTTTAGGGCCTTTGCAAAATTAAATTTTTGAAAAGGGTTTAGTTGGACATGGGGAATGTCTTAGAGATGTTTGGCTGGTTTATGCTGTGGGTTGTCAAACTATAAAAGAAAGCATTTTAGGTAAAGGGTTTGATATTGGGTTTAAGGTCCTGTAGATGAGATTGCACAGTGTAATGTGGATGTACTGAACAGGGAGTAATTTAGATCTATGAAGAGTGGGGAGTGTTTGCCAGGGATGGGATTTAGTGATTTTCTTACAGCACTTTTTTTTGGGTTATTTTTGGGCTTTAGGTGGTTTCTGCAGTTGCCCCAACCCAAAATGCATAGGTGGGTAGGGATAAATAAGTAGGGTATGTGTGAGAAGGGGCATTTTGGGGCCCGTAGTATCGTATCTTGGAGAGGATCAAAACGATTTGGATATTTTTTTGGTTATGTTTGGATAGGGGTGCTGAAATTCGGGTTTGTTTCAAAAAACCTAAATTTCCCCCCTTTTTTCCCAATAGGGAATTTTAGTTCCTTAACTTTAGAGTTCTTTTAACTCTCTTTTGATGGGGAATGTTTTTGTCATTAAATTTCTTTCTATTAACATTTTTATTAAGAAAATCTGCATTCCTAAAATTTTATTATTATTACAGTCAATTCAGGACCCCCAAGGGAAAAAAGTCACTTCAATTTTTTTGGGGTTTTATCCTTTTTAATTTCACATATGTGCTTGTTGAAAATTTTTGAATATTTGTGTTATGTACCTGAATAAATTAACTTCTTAAGCGTTAAACCTGAAGGTCATAATCTGATTACATTCCAAATCATTACATTTGTGAGAGCACAAACCCCTTGGGGGTCATACAATGTGGAGGAAAAAGGTGGCAATGAGGATCGATTTAAAGATGGGGATGATGGTTCACTTTCCTGGATCAAGAGCGTCCCCCCGGCCAGCATCTCAGCAGTTTTGGGGATGGCAGCCGTGTACTAGTGCCATATATATCACTGCCGCCACAGATTGCTCAGCGAAGGTTCATTGACCTTGTTGCAGATAAATCTAAAAAAATACTGTAAAAAACTGTGATTTATCTACTTTTTTATCCAGGGGAAGCGCTAACCACTTTGAAGATATATACTAGCACTGGGAGTAGGGGAGGCATTCAGGTTCAGTCCTAAGGAAAGGAAGTCTAATTCCTTGGATCAATCTAAACACCGGCATCAAGGCACCTCTCATGAAGGAAATATAAATGTGAGAGTAACCCCTACTGCAGAAGAGAGCTCAAGCTTAATGTCTCTCTCAGGAGTCTTGTTTACCTGACTCACCAACACAAATTTGGTCAAAACAAAAATAAAATTTGCATTCCGTTATCACTGCAAATTTATCTTGAAAAACTATAACAATGGTTAAGAACATTATTATTATTCATATTACTATTATTACATTTATAGGTAAAGCGCTAAACCCGTCGGGGAATAGTCACCCTGATGTTTTGGGTTATTTAGGTAATTCACACGGTACTATGGAAAGTAATTGTAATTTATCAAAAGAATAGCGCAATTATACCTAAATAAACTTTCATGTTTGCTTGCTTCATACAGCGCCAGGGAAATGGGAGACAGATTCAGTCCAAGGTAAGACAGGGTAGCTCAAGAGCCCTTCAAGGCATCAAGGCTCTCCAGTAAAAGGCTGACAATAAACAAGTCACTTTTCTAAAGTATTACGTAGACGACATTGTGATATAACCCTTATATATATATATATATATATATATATATATATATATATATATATATATATATATATATATATATATATATATATATATATATATATATATTATATATATATATATATATATTATATATATATAATATATATATATATATATATATATATATTATATATATATATATAATATATTATATATATATATATATTTATATATATATAATATATATATATATATATATATATATATATATATATATATATATAGATATATATATATATATATATATATATATATATATATATATTATATATATATATATATATATAAATATATATATATATATATATAATACTATATATATATATATAATATATATATATTATATATATATATATATATATATATATATATATATATATATATATATACATAATACCTTTGTACATAAGTATCAGTTTGTACCTCATATATATATATATATATATATATATATATATATATATATATATATATATATATATATATATATATATATATATATATTATACATAATACCTTTGTACATAAGTATCAGTTTGTACCTCAGGGTAAGAGCCTGGGCTCACACCTAGGAGAACATCAGTTACCCTCTACAAGGTGGGACGTATATTATTATTATAATCAAAAGAAGCGCTAAAGCACAAGGGCTCGATGGGACGTACATAAAAAACCATACCCCCGGCCGGGATTGAACCCGCGGTCATAGAGTCTCAAAACTCCAGCCCGTCGCGCTAGCCACTGTCATTATTATTATTATTATTATTATTATTATTATTATTATTATTATTATTATTATTATTATAATCGTAACTAAGCGCTAACCCACAAGGGTCCTACAGCGCTGACCTAAACATATCATTACATCATAGATATACAATACCGGCAAGTTGAGGAATAAGACATGTGCTAAAGCAGCAGGTTTTTTTCAGTCATATAAGGAGGCATGATGGAAATATACTTGGAGCAAGAGGACAGGTGCAGCAGTTAAAATTGTACCAATAAAGGAGTGGAACAGACTGCCTGCACATGTCAAAACCTGTCAGTATCAGCCAGTTCAGAGAGATAATCCCTCAAGGGAGGTTCCTTGACGCTGGTGAGGGGCTCTTCATGTAGAGAATTGGATTTGTGCTCCGGTTCCCTGAATTCCTTTTTGATTATAATAATTTATTTTTGATTATAATAATCCGGTTTCCTGAACTGAGTCTGAAATACCTTCCCCCCCCCCCCCAGGCGCTGTATAATCCTATGGATTTAGCGCTCCCCATGATAATAATAATCAATATAAGAGAGCCAAAAGGTGCCTAAAGAATGTAGCGACAGAAAGGGAGAATTATTTTTATATAGCTAACACATGTAAAATAAATAACTCAGTTTACCTTATTCCTAGTAAATCTCCTTTATAGAATAAAAATAAGGTATTATCTTCTTTATAGTATAATAATAAGGTATTATCTCCTTTATATTATAATAATAAGGTATTAAAAGGACCCCAATGGAAATAAGTCACTGACTTTTTTGGATCATCTAGATAAACTACACATGTGCTGCTATGTATCTAATTGTATTTATGTGTACCTGTACTTAAATAAACTTACTTATTCACCAGCATCAAGGACCCCAATGAAAATAGTCACATCGCTTGACTTTACTGGTCATTCAAAGGAGGTGCCTTGACGCTGATGAATAACTCATGATCCACGAAGAACAAAAAATCACAATACCGTGCCTTGATCCATGGACTTGGGGACTACTCTTACTTACCACTAATCAAACCAAATTGCTTCCCATTCCCAATTATCCAGGCCCTGTATGACTCCATTAATATAATAACTGATTTTACTGGGTTATACTAGGTAAACTACATAATTACTATTTTATATACTTATTTAATACACAATTACCATTTAATATGCTAATTTATTTGCGTAAATGAAAACTTGCTGCCTTGAAGTGTTGACTTGAGATAGACAGTGGCAACACTGTTAAGAGCTGGAGACTAAGCTTGAGTCCCGTTCTATGAGCCATTGCTTCACAATGGTGTGTCCAGGACCACGTATTTTGGTATATACCATCATCATGGTAACCATGGGAGCACATACCCTGGCCAACAAGTATTCTGAGGCAGCAAATACTAAGGTTCACTTTGAGAGGAACCCGTTCAGGATGGCTAAGCTGAATCTTCTGTGGGACAAAGCTTTAAAGGTAAGCTGATGTCATAGCCTGATTCAGGGAGGTGCTATGATGCCGGTGAAGGGCTACTGAACCAGGAAATTGTACCAATCCTTCCTATCCTTGGATCAAACATGATTACGTCCCAGCCCCTAGGTGCTGACGCTTCCTGCGGGTTGAGTGTTTCTCCCTCATTATCATCATAATGAAATAAGTTAAAGCAGGGTTGCATAATATGAAGTGTTTACTGAATGACCCTTGCAGGATTAATATCTAGATAACATGAGAAAGGAGGAGCGCTGAAGCAGGCCTACTGGCCCATGCTAGGCGGTCTAACTCGCCCACCAACACCCATTCATGTACAAAAATTATCTAACCTATTTTTAAAGCTACCCAAGGTTTTCACTTCAGTGACACTTATCGGGAGCTTGTTGCACTCATCCACAACTCTCACCATACCAATGCTTTTCTATATCCTTTCTAAATCTGTTTTTTTCAGGCTTTGCCCATTGTTGCCCATTGTTGCGAATCATGTTTTAGATATTTTTAGAACATTATTTATATCTCCTTTATTTATTCCTGTCTTCCATTTACACACCTCAGTTATATCTTCCCTAATTCTACATTCTTCCAGGGTGTAGATTCAGTGCCCTTCAGTAGTCTGTCTATCCTTTTAGGAAAGATTTGTGATACACTGGATCAATTTTGTCATCCTTCTCTATGTTTACCATGCATAAATATCCCTTCTGTAATATGGAGACTAGAACTGCACAGCATAATCTAAGTGAGGCTTTTAGATTACTGCTCAACAGAACTAAATCTTATTTTTTTTGCATTCAGTGTGATTGAGGTTTACATTATTCAGTTTAAGTACCATTGTTATTCTCTTTTCATAGGCTTAGACCCTTAAATCTGTCTACATTAAACTGCATCTGTCACTTCTCCAGCCACTGCATCAGTCTATCCAGATCTTCCTTTAGCGTTCTAGTGTCATAAGAATTAATCAGACATGATTAACTAACTAATTTTTGTATCAATAATAATAATAATAATAATAATAATAAATGTATATGTATATAAAATACATGTGTAAAGTTTGAATGTGTATGGGTGTAGTACAGAAAAAAAGTTGATTATGAATGAAAAGCTGGATGTCCTATCTCTAACCAGGACAAGGAGAATTGCAGTGGGGAGAAATAGATGGGATTAGGGCAGGTGTATCTGAGAGAATTAGAGCTAAGGAAGGAGTTGCAGTAATGTTGAATGGTCAGTTATGGAAAGAGGTAATAAGAATATAAATGTTTAAATTAAAGGATTCTGTGTTTTAAAATAAGGGTAAGATGCTAGAAGTGGGTTATACTAAGTGTTTATGCACCTAGAGAAGAGAGGAGTGTAGAGAGAGTGAGAGATTGATTGATTTTTGCAATATGTTAGCAAGTGTTTAGATAGTTTTAAAGGTAGTGAGAAAGTAATTGTTGTGTAGGGAAGGGAGGGAAACTACAATAATTATAAGGCATGGTAGGTAAGTTTGGGGTGCCAAAGATAAATGATATACAACAAATTTCCAAAAGAATTTCCAAGACCGTAGGCATACTATCGAAGATACAGTGCTATGTTCCACAGTCAGCTCTCCTGACCCTATATCACTTACTTATTTACCCCTATCTCACCTATGGAATTTGTGCATGGGGCTCAACAACAATAAACCATCTCAGACCACTAATCACCCAACAAAAGGCTGCAGTCAGAATGATGATAAATTCCCACTACAGACAGCACACTCCACCAATATTCAAAACTCTAAACCTACTCACCATACAAAACATCCATGACTCACGAAATCATAATGACACGATTGCAAACAAACCATACCCCGGCCGGGATTGAACCCGCGGTCAGAGAGTCTCAAAACTTCCTATGGTGTAGAAATATACCTAGTTGGACGAATCTTATTGTGGCTAGCTGGTCTAGTGGCTAACGCGACGGGCTGGAGTTTTGAGACTCTCTGACCGCAGGTTCAATCCCAGCCGGGGTATGGTTTCAAACCATCCATAGTACTTATTACTTCACCTACTATATACTATATAGAACACTTAACTCTGATATAAACCCTCCCCTCAAACGTCTCCATACCAGCCTCAACAGAACATGACCATAACACAAGGCACAGATCACTCTTTGATGTTCCTCGTGTCCACCTTATGCTATGCAAAAACTCGATGCACATAAAAGGCCCTAAAATCTGGAATTCACTACCTGTGAATATAAAAGAAACACTGTCTGTTTATTAATTCAAGTCTCTTCTCAAAAATCACTTACTCACCCACAGCTAAATAAATACTGAATAATTGTATCACTTAAATTGTATCTCATAAATGTTTCTCATTATTGTATCTCATAAATGTCTAACCTGTGACCCAATCAAACTTTATTTTTTTTAATTACATTACCTAACAGAATACTCCATTCTATTGAATGCTCAGCAACACAGTAAATGACCATATGACCTGTCTTTGTAATACTCATTTGTTCTAAATTGTTATCTGTTTACAATAATGTTTTTACCACTGAATATATCATTGCTTAGTTAATCTTAAGTTAATTTTAACCCTATATGGTCCAAACGTATATATACGTTTTTTCAACATTTGAAAGTATGTAAAAAAAGTAGATCTTCTTTTTGTTTTTTTACATTTGAAAATGTGTAAAAAAAACTTTGATCTACTTTTTTTTTGTTATTGAAAATATGTGAAAAAAAGTAGATCTACTTTTGTAGCACTACACATGTGAACGTAGATCTGCTTGGACCGTTTACGGGTTAAGCCTGCCCATAATGCTTTGCATACAAGGGGCTTTGGCATGTTGCACTTTAATAACTATTCCTTTGTACTTCCCTGTATCATGTTCAAATTAATAAATAAATAAATAAATAGTGGGGGCCTTTACCTGAACTGTATATGTAAAGTGGTTTGATAAGAGATAACAAGAGTTTTAAGAAAGAGGATAAAAAAGTGCAGTATTCTTGTTTGGTGGTGAAAAGTTCACATGCTGCCTGAATAACCTTAGTGTAATTGTTAGGACATAAACCTCATTAATCAACCAATAATAGTAATTATAAAATAATATTGCCATTAACTACTATTTGAGATTGTTCTTTTGTATGCAAAGTTTTCCCCCAAGTCATCAAGTATGAGTGTCAGATTTTGTTTTGATTATTAACCCACAGGATTAGTAACCCAGGATAACCCTATAAGGTCAGAATGTTATTGAGGATTGTCTGTTTCCATTGGAATCCTCTAATCCTCTCCCTAGGATGCAATCCTTGCCAGTCATCTAACAGTTAGGTACCTAATTATTGCTAAGTGAATGAGGGAACTGGTGTAAAGAAACATGCCCAACATTTCCATGAGAGATAATATAAAGTAAACCAAGTGAAAAGCAGAGGTGCCATTGGCACAATAAGAGTACATTGTATCATCATCCATGGGCTCAGACTTTGACAGAAAATAATGGGAGCACTGTCAGGACAAGTGTAGAAATCTTCAAGAGGAAACCCTACAAGTGCCTCTGTCAAGTGATGGATGTGGACCAGCAGGCTGCCAGTAGCAGTTACCTGGTTGGCCAGGCAAGCTTCAAATATGCCTGGCCTAGGGCTGGATTCCATGAGTAGGAAAACCAGTGGATTTTGTCTTGTTTCAGAAGTTCGTTATTCAAAACAAAATGAAAATGCTGACTGGTTAGTGAAATAGCAAATATCAAACTTAAGCAGAAGGAATCTTACAGAAGACAAGAATCTCAGGAAGAACTAAAAGCCATAAAGGAAATTGAAAAAAAAAAAATATTTATGCCAAATCTAAGGGAAAAACAACATCCAGCATTGGGCCCCCTGCTTAGGCGAGATGGGACATACACAGATGACAGCAGAGAAATGAGAGATAACAAAGTCCCGGTACGACTCAGTGTTCAGTGAGCCATTACCCAGACTAAGGGTTGACCCTCTAAATGAATTCTTTATGAACAAGACCCAAAATTTGGTCATCTCGACAATCTCTGATATTATCCTAACACCACAAGACTGAAAAGGCAGTCAGTGACATGCCCATACACTCTGCCCCAGGCCCAGACTCATGGAACTCTGTGTTCATCAAGGACTGCAAGAAGCCTCTGTCACGTGCCTTCAGCATTCTGTGGAGAGGGAGCATGGACACATGGGTCATCCCACACTCACTAAAAAAACAGACAGCCTCACTCTACAAAGGTGGCAGTAAAAGAATTTCAAAGAAGTACAGACCGATAGCACTAACATCCCATATCATAAAAATCTTTGAAAGAGTTCTAAAAAGCAAGATTGCCAACTACCTAGATACCCATCAGTTACACAGCCCAGGGCAACACGGGTTTAGAGCAGGTCACTCCTGCCTGTCCCAGCTACTGGACCACTATGACAGGGTCATGGATGCTATAGAGGGTAAACAAAATGCAGATTTAGTACAGCCTCTCCTCAGTTCTGTTCCCGAGACCATGTTGGTAAATGAATTCATTGTTTAATGAGGAGCATACTATAATGGTAGTGGGTTTGTGTTAACCATCTTAGATATTGTTTTAATGTCACCTTTGTACCATTTATAACATTTCTAGTATACAGTGGAACCCCGAGTTTCAGCCACCCTGAGTATCGGCCGCTTTGAGTTTCGACCACTTTTCTCAGCCAGATTTTGTCCTGAGTTTCGGCCATTGCCCCACGTTTCGGCCAGCATACCAGACCTGTCCACCTGCCTGTGCTTGCACGCTTCCCCCTCGCAGGTGTCGTGAACCATATCTAGCGTTGTTTATCCTTGAGTTAACATTACCCAGCATGCCAGCCAGCCAGCCAGGCATCCAGCCAGCCAGGCATCCAGCCAGCCAGGCATCCAGCCAGCCAGGCATCCAGCCAGCCAGGCATCCAGCCAGCCAGGCATCCAGCCAGCCAGGCATCCAGCCAGCCAGGCATCCAGCCAGCCAGGCATCCAGCCAGCCAGGCATCCAGCCAGCCA